AGAGTGATAGAAATAAAACAGTGTTGCACACCTCTAGGGCTTAAAATCCGAAATCACTGGAACAGAGCCAGAGGGAAAGTAGAGTAATCGGGGGATCGTTTCATAAACTATATAAGTGTCTAACCAATGTACCGTCTACTCAAAACTAATACCAAAATAAAATAAAATGCTAAAAAACGTACCGAGCACATAAAAAGCAAAAAAAAAAAATCACTGGATTCTCATATCCACATCTCCATTTAATGCGTTATATGTAAGTATTTTTTTTTTTTTTGATTGGAGATCTGCAGACGATCCGACCTCGCACAGATAAGTAGATGGAAGAGGGGAGCGTATGTTAATCGTCTTTAAAAATCATTGTGGCTATTGCTCTTTGACGATTCTCCAAAAGTCAACAAGCGGAGATTTCTTCAGGGCCAGTTGCAGCGCAGAATCTGAACCGAGGATGGACGACTCCTTTGCGCCCTGGAACCCGCTGGTCTTCCAGGGCCTTCGATGTCACCCGGGCACGACTTCGCCCCTTCGCACACGGGCCACTTGGAAAATGTCGACTCACTAGGTTATCCACACCTCCCAAATGCTGATGCATTTCATTATCGCATGTAACCTTTGTTAACATCACCATCGATCTCGTCGGAAAAGTCTTTAACTATTGGGAGCCTGTCACAGTAGTCCCAAATTCTAAGTTTTGCTCGAAAGCTCCATTTTCACAATGCTAGCAAACCTCGCTGGTTGTTTTCCTTGAAGTGCAAGTACGGGTCGGCGTGTGATCAAGTGAGTGGTTTCCACCGCGGCATCGAGAACCCCCTGGCGGGAAAGAGCCCGCGGGGTGGACGCGCTGACTGCCCGCGGGGTCCCGGCCACCTCTCGCTTCTGGCCAAGGCGCCGGCAGCTCGACATCCTGTCGTCTCTCCGTCAGCGTAAGTGATGTGTGATTCTGGAAGCAGCGGTGACCTCATGGAGCCCCCGAGGATCTTGGGGACCCCGGTGCCTGCTTCTCTTTCTCCTTCCTTCTTCCCGCCCCTTTTAGAAGCGTGGTCCAGGCGCCAGGCACCGGGGCAGTGACGGACTTGGGAGCCGCTGCCGTGGGGACGGTGATGACATCATCACGACTCGAGATGAGTTAGTTCTACGCGGAGTGGGGGCCACGAGGCCTGACTAGTCTCCACTACTCCCGGGACCGCTGGAGGGAGCCAGGCTGACGGGAGCCTCAGGCCCCGCCATGAGAGAGAGGGGGGCACTGGGCAGGGAGCCGCTCTGGTTGAGAGGTGAAGGGGGCTGGGGAGCGTGACCAGCTCCGGGTCACTGTGAACTGAGCAGGTCCTGTTAGGGTTTCAGTCCAGAGTTCACAGAACCACACCCCTCTCTTCCTCCCCATGCATTTGCCTGAGGGAGCCCCTCGGCCTGCTGGCCCCCAGGAAGTGTCGTCGCTGCCTGCTTCCCCGCCTCCTTCAGGTGGCCCCCCCAGGCCTCTCCTGGGGCTTCCTGTTCTCCGTGCCCTCTGCAGAGGGGAACTGGGTCTCACCACCCTAACTTGAGGCCTTCTCATTGGGAGAGTTTTCCTGTGGTCAGGGCCAGGAGACAGTGGTGGCACAGGGAGACAGCCTGTCACCAACGTCGAAAACCTATAGGGTCCCCACAGCGGCGGCCCAGGCCCGCCCCTCGACTCCGTCACCTCTGCCTCCGGGCCTGTCCCCAGGCGCACCCCTGTCCCAAGTCTCCTCTGCAGGGGTCCCCAAGCCCTTCTTCCCAGCCCTGGGCCTGGGGGCATGCCCTGGGGGGAGGGGGTGGGGACCGGTGTGCGTGCAAAGGACCCTTCCCAGGGGCTTTTCTGGGGTCCCCAGGCCTGAGGCTGAGAATGCAGCTCCACCAGGGCAAATTTCTGGGTTGGAGTGTTTCCTCCGAGGGGTCCGTTCTGCAGTCTCAGGGCCCCTGCCTGCTGGAAGGTGGGGTCCCGCAAATCCCCGAGTGGGCGTGGGTCCTGTCATGCTCGTGGAGAACGTCACATGCAGTTTCCCCTGTGAAGATTCAGGGGCTCCCGGAGATGAGGCTGCAGACCGTGGGACCGGTGAGCTGGTGACTGTGACGTGGCCTTGAGTTGCGAGGGGCGAGGGGTTTCCTGGGTGGGTGACAGCTGATGCCAAGGGTAGGGGCGTGGCGAGAGGGAGGACGATGGACATGTAGGCGACAAGGTCAGAACTAGGCATAGCAGGTGCCTTCTGGAACGCACCTGTCTCTCTGCCTGCCTCCTGCCCCTGCTGGTGACCCTGGACGGGGTGAGCAGCGGGGTGAGCAGCGGGGCAGGGTGGGGCTGAGGGACCTCCACCCGCAGCCTCCACATCCCTGGAGTGGGTCTGGCTCCAGGAGAGGAAGTTCTCAGGTGTCAGATGCGATGCCCGGTTTCACGGGCACCCCCGAGTTGGCGGGGGATAGGCGGGTGCTCGGGGAGCTTAGGCAATCGTGCCCTTTCCCGGCAAGGAGGTGCCCGGGCTTATTCACAGGGCGGTTCCGCTCTCTGCCAGGGTCTGGTTTCACCGAGCGCCTCTTGGCGGTGTGGACACAGCGGAGACCGAGCCTCGGAACTCTGCCCTCCTCCTCCCCGCTTTGGCGAGGGGCCAGCTTCTCTCTTCTCCTGGGAGTGGAGCCTGAGCCTGAGGCCCACCGCGGGAGGGGGTGGCCTCCGGAGCAGGGACTGGGACGTGCGGGCCCAGGAGGCAGTGGCTGTGGAGGAGGACGGAGGGGCCACGCACGTCTGGAAGGTGGGAGCTGCCAGCTGGTGAGGGCGGAGCCACCCGCACCCTGAGCTGCATGGGCCCCAGGTATTTCTGAGTGTGACTGTGTGAGTGTGGATGTTCCTCCCTGGGAAGCCTCTCCCTTAGAAGGGTCTGGACCCAGGACCGGCCCCTCCTCCTCCCTCCCTCCCCCCCACCGGGAAGGACTGTTCCGCGGGAGATCCATCAGTGTGTTTGCATTTCCTGGGTCTAGTGTTTCTGGATGCTATGGCTCCCTTCTATGAGGATAGGGGTCAGTGACCCCATACTGCAGGTTAGTGTGAGGGTTAAGTGACATCCACGTACGCGTGTCCACTCAGGCCCTGCGCATAGTAGGCACTCAGTGAAATGCACTTGCCCGGGGCAATGGGACGGGAGCGGTTACCCATCTTGCGAGCAGCTGACCTGTGTGGAGACCCTGAGCGGCCTGGCCAGGTGCTGGCTCTCAGGAGGCCCACGGTTGGGCGGGGGGCAGCCAGGGCGCCGTGTGGCGGGGTGGTCGCCCCGTCTGAGGAGCGAGCACAGTTGGTTTAACGGTCAGCGTCTTTCCCAGGGCCGCGGTTGACGCTCCCCCGTCCGTGTCCCGGGCCCAGCCGACGATGCTGCTGTGGCTTCTCGCCTTGTCCGCTCTGGGTGTTGGGGCCTGGGGTGAGTTTTCTTTCTTCGGACCAGAGACAGGGACTGGGACGGGTTGTCTGGTCTCACACCGGTTCTTCTTGAACTGCGGGCTGTCCCAGAGGGAGAGGGAACAGCTTCGCGTTTGGAGCCCGGAGCCCAGAGTCTGCGGCCTGGCCCTCAAGTCCTTGCCTTGCCTCCAGCGGTGGTTTTAAGCGACTTATTTGGCTCTTTAAACCTTAGTTTTCCCACCTGAAAACGGAGATAAGGTTGCGGTCTCCTAAATTTGCCTGAGATGAAAGGGGTCCGTACACAAGGAACATTTAGCATCTGGGCAATGGAGCAGCCATTGCAGGTGTATCGTTTCCATGGCAACCGGCATCGAACCCCTGACTGGGGTTCGAGCCCGTGGTGAGGGGCTGGGGGCCTGGGGAGGCAGAGGGGGCGGGCAGGGTCCCGGCCTGGGTGCGGGTGGCCGGTGCTGGCTCTCTGAGACCGAGGCAGAACGGGATGTTCCTTCGCAGGTGACTTCTGGCGTAAAACGCCATCCAAACGCGTGTCGGAGAGGCTCCCGTCCCCAGCTGGCAGCGGCTCCCCGCTCACCGGTGAGGCAGGCTGGGTCTGCATGGTGAGGGGGTGTGGGGACCGCTGGGGTTTGTCACACGACCACGTGTCTGTGACGTGGGCACAGGTGGGGCTGAGATGCAGAGAGGGTCACCTGCAAAGCGCCTGCACAGACGGCCATTGCCCTGGGGGTGAGCTGGTGGCCGGAGGGACAGAAACCAGGAAAGGAGCGGCCGCCGCTGCCCTGGAGGCCCCTGGCGGTGGGGGGGGAGGTCGGAGACTGTGCTCAGTGGGCCCTGCCTGAGGGGGCCCCAGGCTGAGGAGGAGAAGCGCCCCCTCGGGGAGCTCAGGATGGGACTCAGTGACAAGAAGGCAGAGCAGGGGGGAGCTGCGGCCGGCGCCTGTCTGTCGTGGGGGGACAGCCTGGGCACCTAGTCTTCTCACGCAGGTGCAGCCCCGGGGCTGGGGCTGGGTGGAGGGGATGCGGGCAGCCCGGGGGTGCAGGCGTGCCGAGTGACGTCCCCCTGCCGTGGCTGTCCCCACAGACGTCCCCGCCGTGGTCTCTCGCAAGGAGTGGGGGGCAGGAGCTGCGGGCTGCAGCGTCCGGCTGCCCACGCCCGTGGACTTCCTCATCACGCACCACGTGCCCGGACTGGGGTGCCACAGCCAGGCCGTCTGCAGTCAGCAGCTGCGGGCGCTGCAGGCCCATCACGTGCTCCACAAC